AATTATTACTGAATATTTCAAAGTTGCATGATTATATAAGGCATATAGATATTTATTTCTATCCTGACCTCCACAGTTGTCGGAAAAAAATGAAAATTCTTTAACGCCTTTCTGTACATAGCTATGAATGTAATTCAACAGACAACTGCCTATTTCGCATGCACCTCTCTTTGCAATGCACTCATGCCACATATAGCATTGGCAATCTTTCGTTCCTAAATTATAAACCGTGAAATTATATGTCGAGAGCTTTGATTCATAGTGTTCCAAACCGACATCTGATTTTGGAACAGGCAGTACTTGTTGTAAGTCGAATACAGCTGCACAGAAATCAATTTTCGAAGATGCTTTCATTTTTCCGGAATCTTTCATAATCCGTGATAGCTCTTTATTTTTCATGTGTTGTTTATACTCATCCTCAATTAATAGACGGAATGTTTCTGTACCACTATCATATCTATGGCATACATCACACAAATCCTTTTTAGGTACAAAGAATGAAAGGTTGTATTCTGTATTGAAAATATGTCTGTACATACTTTCTGTTGCAACGATAGACATAGAATTTTCACGGCAATATTCTTGATAAAGAGTATACATCCTAGCGATATTCAATGTATTGGGCAAATATTTTCTATTGGTAGTTGCCCTGCAATAATGACTTTCTACAGTTTCGAATGAATTGATATGATCCCTCACAGTCTTCTTCACAGACTCGTCTAGTTTGCTATTCTTACACGTTTTTCCTCTCCTGTCTTCCATTACTGCACCTGAACGTCCCATTTTAGAAAAAACAGTCTCCACCATCTGAACTCCGTGAGTATAGATTTTCGAAGTTCCTCTGTGAACTTTGTGTCACACTTTCGTCTACAGTTTGTGCATGGAGCTTTCAGTGTTCTTTCGACCTGTAATGTTCCCTTCCAATTTTCATAAGCCATTCCTCTATTCCTGGAAGTTTTGATGATATTTCTCCTCCAATTCTGTTCATCTCGTTTTCTTTTTCTGGTTTGGAATTTGACCTCTTTATTGGTTTTCCCTCCTTCCTGAGCACTATCATCATTATGATGGTCAGTATCGTTATCATCAGTAGAAGTATGTTGATTCTTATCAATTAATTCTTCATTTTCTGATGAAACGTAATCAGAGTCACCGTCAGTTGCATAAGGATCTGATTCAGAGGACGAAATATGGAGATCTTGACTCAACCTTTCAAAATTATTCAGTTTAGGTTCTGATTGCTCCCCTTTGTTCGTTTCATTTGGTACTTCAATATCAACGTTCTCGATAGTAGCCGCATCAGAACTGAACTGAACATAATTGAAAATTTGTAGATTTGTTATATCCGAAGCAAAATTTGAACTCTGAGTATAAGAAGTGGCCGTCTCGAATGGTATCAAACTGGGAGGAGGTTGTAAATTTTTAGAGAGTGACATGAGTTCATAGTCAATATGTGCCTTCGAAGACATTTGGGAGTGATTTTCGTCCGCTATTCTATATTCTTCTGTCGTTTCTGAAAATTTCATTTTGTACATTTACATCTTTGATGTTAAGACTATTTCTTACCTTCGGAACAGCTCGTGGCTTCTCTAACCAACTTCATTATTTTTTGAACTCTCTGATTGTACATTTTAAACTCCTGTCAGAACTATGGTGTCCAATTTTTTGGTATTCTAAGAGATTATTCCTAATCAGAACTAGTGTAACTCCAGTTGCGTATTTACACTTACGCTATTGACAGCATTTACCCTCCTTACGCAGTGGTCGGAGTAAGACTGAAGAAGTTAGGATAGATTTGCATGGAGTCGTGGTGGGGTATATGCGTCAAGTGGGAGTTATGATAGTTCTGCTCGTGGTAGAGCTGTATTTTGTATGTACAACCATGAAATATCTCAATTTCAGAATTATTTGGACTTACAATAGTTCTGCACTCGGGCGATGAGCTTCACTAAAATTTAATTTTTTGTTTTCCAGATCTATATTACTTTAGTCTATCCAGTGAAAACATTTCAAGAATGCAAACATGCCGGTACATCAAAGGAAGCAACATAGTCGTCTCAAGCAAGTAGCACTGCAATTCATCCACAAAGTCACTGAGCTATTTCTACTTGCTATGGCCCTTAAAAACGCCGCTGATGAGCCATTACAATAGGGACTAGCAGCAAATAACATGAAAAGAGGCGGCCGATAGTGTTATTCTTATTGCGTTAAATGAGGAGCAGACATTCAAAATGCATTTTGTCCAAATTGCATAATTTTCAGGAAACGACAAAGTTCACTATGAGGAAACTGATAAGTTTTCGTGAGATTCAAGGAACCGAAAAATTTGCAAAAAATATGACCTCCAATATTAACTTGATGCCAAAAATCGCCTTTTGTTATTCAACCCGAAAATTTTAATAATGAATGAGCCTAAATGCTCTTTGATTGTCCATATCGGACAAAACGCATTTTGTTTGGGAAGTCAAGGGACTTATAGCTGTTTAATAGTAAAACAAACAATTTCAAAAACTTATTCTTTTTTCAGGCATGTAATTAAAAAAAAATAACAATTTCATTAACAGTACTTCTTCAGAAGGAATGAACCTATAATTTCATCTCAGCATCATCTTCTTGACATTGACATAGTTCTCGCTGCTCAGAATCACCATCATCTTCATCATCCACATCTTCGTCTCCAGGAATATCTTCAACATTTTTGGGTAAAATTGGAGCAAGCCATGACAATTCTGGATCATTCCTCCAATTCTCACCAGCCAATTCTATCAATAATTTATTTAGGCTCTTTATTTTCTTCCTTTTTATTTCCCTACTAAGCGGTATTGGTGACAGCACGATACTTTCAAATTTCTTTCCTTTCTTCAACAGAGTTTCGTATTTTTTCGAACAATCATCATTTCTATAAAACTGCTCAGTTTTTATTCCTACACCTACATTTCTCAGTCTTTTGATGAAGATTCTCTTTGCCTCGCTGATTCCTGAAACTTTTTTCAAACATGTCANCCTCTTTTACGACTTCCGCGATCACTATCACCTACTACATGTTCACATTCCATTGTCTCAGATCATCAAACAGTATAATAGCAATAATAATTGTGTACTATTTGCCAAAGTGCATTCAGAATGCATTAAGTCCGCAGCGTAACAACAAAGGCGTTTTGAAAGTCTATGTGTAGTGGACAAAATGCACTTCGAATGTCCAATCAATCTTCACTGGGGATTTCATATGGGACTGAACGCCTTTTGAATGTTCCTGGTTGTGTTAAAACATGCGCCTTAGTTTGAAGAATAGATCGCCATCTCCATTTCAAAAGCTGAAGTATTGGACAAAACGCATTTCGAATGTCTGCTCCTCAAATATAGTATTGATAGGCGTTGTACTGGGGGTATTAATATACATTTTCCAATTATATTCAATATAATGCGAAGATAATCAAAAAATATCGTGAAAACTAATTTTGTTTAAATATTTCATTTTCAGTTCTCAGCAACTTCACTTAGCGCCCTAGGAGCTAAGTAATATGCATCGATATAGAAAATTGTAAATACCTTGAAAACGATTACATCCAGCGTTGTTGAGAAAGTATACCTTTTTTACTTGGAAAAGGTATGGGAATAAATTTTTTTCATGAAAAGTATCAAAAATTCACTATCAAAAAAGTTAGGACAATTTGAAATGAATAATGACAGATACGCGGGTTTCAACGGCTATTCCAAAATTAACAGTTAGAAAGTTTACGAGCAAAAAAAACAAAAAAGAAAAAGAAACATTGAGTTGGGAAAGAAAGTTTTTGGCTTTTAACTACTTCATCTTGATAAAAAAAATGTTGGTATCTTCCAAAGAAAGGAAGGAATCAATCAATTTCAAAAGTAGTAACTCTATACATAAATGTGTAGATCATGCGAAGAAGTAACTTTCAGACATAAACTGGAAGAAAAAGCCTTCCTGAAATAGGTAGTTTCATATGGGCATTGAATTAGACGAAAGAAAAATTCCTTCGAAACAAATACTTTCATATAAACACTGAATTACACAAAAAAAAATTCTCTACTCAGTTTGTATTTCCAACATTGGTTATGGAATTATATCAGATATCCTTCATAGGAAAATATTATGTTTTATTCAAATCCATGTATTTTGTCGGGTTGCAGTCAGATTAGTAGAGCTATTACAAAGAAGATGCTTTGTTACCTGTCAAGCTCTCGGTAAATGTTTACCTTCGTCAGGACAATAGCGGGAGAATAATAAAGAAACTGGAGCTCTAATTCGGATGATAGCTTGCACTTGGTAGATAAATCGAAGGGTGAATTGTCAACAGTTTCTTAAAATTTTGAGAAAATTGTCAAACAAATTACTATTGTTTGACAATTTAATATTGGAAATCGAAAGTAAAAACTATCCAGGAGAGATACATTCGTATAAGGAAATGAATATTTAGAAATACATTTCGAAATATTAATCTTCTTATAATTTAATATTGTTAATTCAAATCATTTTACTTTGTCAATTTTTGTATATTACACAAATAGTTGCTTTCATAAGTAAATGCTATATCGTGATTATGAAGTTTTACACCAAATTGGAACGGACTCTATCTAATACTTCGCATACTGGAATATTTAAATTGACAGATTTCAGAGAAGAAAAATGAAAATTGAAATGTAATGTATTCATAGGATGAGTGCTGACAAATTTCAAGAAACTGACCTAAAATCGTTGGGGTTCCTTTTCAGTCGAGTAGAAAGTTATGTCATTCGGAGCAGTAGCCACGTCGTTACGTTTTCATTAGCTGTGTGCGTGTCGGACACAGAATTGTTTTTCGGATGCACAAATTAATGACGCATAGTAAATATCAATTGATCTGTATTATTAAAAATATTTTCCATTATGAGTAGGCACTGTCGAGGTTTTTTCTTATTTCAGGATGAAATGAGAAATTTAATTTAAGTTTGTTCCATCTTCCGAATAATTTTCATGAAGCTAAATTCAAACACTCTCTTTATTAAAAAATACATTTATTTGTCACCGTATTCATACAAAAATATACAAAAATATATAAAATATAACATACATTTATATTGCACTATATTTACAAAATGAAACACTTCTGATGAAACTTCAAAACCCTCTTAAATCGTATACGGCGAACTTTTTTAGTCTTTTTTCAAAAGATTCGCAGTTTCATCGAAAGCGACCCATTAAATCTCAATTTGCTGTTTTGAACAAACCGAAAGTATCTATAACCGACGTCAAAAGTTAGTCAAAATTCTTAACAAACTATGTCAAAATTTTTGGCGGCAATTGCAGATATACCAGCATCACCATTCGTTGTTGGAATGTAACGACAAATATTTTTCTTCAGTCGTTACAAAGGTGTCTTGGAGCTTTTAGTACGGGCCGGATTTGCCTGGAGGGCCATAGCTGGTTGATACTCCACCACCAGAACCACCTCCATGGCCGCCTCCGATTCCTCCTCCGATTCCACCGTCAATTCCTGGATAAGATTGCAAATTAGATTCAATGTTCATTTGGAAATGACTCTATTTGTTGAACTTACGAAAATATAATATGATTTAAATTCAGAAAAGTCATAAAAAACTTTTTAAGGAAAAGTGAAAACTGCCAAAGACAAAATTGATAAAATAACAGCAGCTGTCTGGCAGTCAAAGATTGTGAAATCACAATAATATTGGAAAGTGCATTTATGCCACGTGACCTGTTGAGCAATACAGTTCATCCCTGCTCTAGTCTTACAATTGTTTAGTAGCATCTTCAGAAGGTTGCTTCTAAAGGGCCAATCCTGGTAAATTTTGATGGTAGGTTACAAATGTTTTTGCAAACCAGGTAGTCAGTGATTATTTGGCTAGACCTAGAGCGATGCCAATAACAGAGTCTGCAGCTTCATTACCTTCCAGGTCACATCATCATAAATATATGGCTTATATTTCATATGATTTCGGAAACTTCATAACTTGATATGAATTTTGACATTCTAACAAATCTGAAAATACACTCACCTCCTCCGATGCCACCTCCAATTCCACCTCCAAAACCACCGCCTGCTCCTCCTCCGAATCCACCACCAGCTCCACCTCCGAAACCACCTCCGCCGCCGCCACCGCCTCCGGCTCCACCTCCGAAACCACCTCCAAATCCACCACCACCACCTCCAGCGGCGGTCTTCTGAAAAAAATCGGAATCGATCACTATAGAAAATGAAATAATTTATATCTGAATTAATATAAGGCATGAAAACCATAAAATAACTTTTTGCAAGTACTGACTCACTAGACTTTGTATTTAGATGAATGAAATTGTTAGTTTCAAGTTGCATTTTCTGAAATCAATAATTGGGTGAATGTCAAACGGTTTAAAAAAAATAATTGAAGATTTGAGTAACATTGAAGTTGAGTATAGTAATGTAGTAGATGAGGATACATTCAAAGATGAAATTGGAAACTACCTACCAGTTCAGTCACTGGTAAGCAACAAAAAACATATTCTATGATCAAATATCAAGTAATAAAGTCATGAGGAACGTTTTCAAGAAAAGTGAGAGAACTACCAAAGTCGAAATCGACAAAACACCAGTTGTCTGCATTTATGTCATAAACATAAAATGTATAGAACTGTATGGACTTACAGAATTTTTTGTCAACATGAATGTGAGTAAATGATTCAATGGATAAAGTAAAATAAATAAATGATGCGAAAGAAAAGAATAGTGCCTTTGAAAACTACAATAATTTCTTGAGTAACAGTTTAAAACGCTCATAAATAATTGTATGTATCGCGTGACACATATATGAATACTGTTAAATTGTAAAAAGTAAATATTTGATGAAGACAACGAAAGATTTATTAGTAAACAGACTTCTTCCAATTCGCTACTTTCAACTGTTGTGCTTCCGTCTAAAGAGGATTCTTTGTAGGTTGATAAAAACAAATGTGGTAAACGGTATTTCACGTAAGAAAGTACGCTCTCCTGACATAGACTTACTTTCTCTATTCAACAGCTGATTAGAGAGAATTGTCACTTAAATGAAAGTACCTACAAGGATGATATTATTGATTGATTATCTGAAGTTACTGTGAATAAAATTTCTCTATTTAAGAAAGAGATCTAACTTTTTTTCTCTATATCGTTCACTAATTTGAGCATTTATTCTTTGTATTTTGAAGACCGTTTCAGATAATCAGAAATTGAAATGCCTTAATTTCAGTTGTCAGTTTATAAACTGATGTTGAAGAGCACATTTATAATAAATCACCTGAGTTTTGTATCTGATGAAGTAGACTTCGGGTTTGCTTGGTTGTGTGGGAGCTGCAGTTGGAATGGTTATTTCAGGTGCTTCTTCAGGTTTCTTGACCAAAACGTAGACTAAGGTCTTTTCTTCATTCTGTGGTTGAACTGGAATTATCGGGGCAGTTGGTGCAGGTGCACTTGGGGCCTAATAAAAATCAAAAATATCATTATAATGTCAATTTCATCTGATAATTATACATACCTTGATGAAAATAATTTTATAGTGCTTCTGGGCTTGTCCAACTTGAATAGGTCTCTGAGGTCTAAACTCTTCTGGCTCTGGTGGTGGTACATGAACATAGATATGTTTCTGGACAGTGGTGCCTCCTCCGAAACCACCTCCAAATCCACCACCACCGCCTCCACCGCCGCCTCCTCCGAAACCTCCTCCAATACCGCCGCCTAAACCTGTGAATAACAGATGACAAATAAAGTGTGAAGACTAATATATTTGAATGAGATGATTTTAGTATGAAATATTCATCAACTTACCGCCTCCAAATCCGCCGCCGCCGCCAGCGCCTCCTCCAAAGCCGCCGCCACCTCCTAATCCGCCGCCGCCTCCAAATCCGCCACCGCCTCCGAATCCACCTCCGCCACCACCACCTAAAATTATAATTCGAAGGTATTTTAATTACACAGTTCGGAAAAGCTAAAGAATCTTGAAAAGCTAAAGAATCTTAACCATAATAGGTGAATAGGTGACCATTAAAGAGATCTTGAACAGATTTGAACTGAATGAAATTCATGATTGGCTCCAAAATATTCGTAATTAATGGCATCATTATTATTAATGCCTCATATCTCATAGGAAAAACTCTAAGAATTTTTTGAAACAGATATTTTTGATAAGTATTTTATGGTTATTTTGAGCAATTGTATACCGAATAGCACTTCAATTTTAGATTTCAATGTTTTGAACCATTAGTTACCATTTATGAGAATACTATTACGGTACATAGATCGGTACATTTTCTACAACTTATTGAGACCAATAAAAAGATTTTTTTGTCATCGTCAAGATATTATACAAAAATTCTTGTACTTTTCGTTTTTACCGAACTATTTTACCGAACTATTGAGTTTGATCCTTTTCATTTTCAAGAAATCATCAAATTCGATCAGTCCTATAATTGGCCAAAATTTCAAAACGTTGCCTCGTTTCTTGCGAGAGATAACAGAGAAATATACGGCCTCGGTCAATACCCATCAACACAATGACATCACGAGTCTGTATTACCATCTACAGCACTCTTATGGTATTTACGAATTCTCCACAACGAATTCAATTTGTTGTGGAAAATGAGAGGTGACGAATTTATTGAAACTACTCATTCCCAACCCAGCTAATAAGCCGGTTGTAGCCATTCTCGATTATCAAAGTAACAAATATTGAAAAATATTGGAAATACCTGTTTCATGAACAGTATATTCCAATGTTTATCAAACACGAGTTGGTTGCTGGAATATTTGACGCTGATTGACGAGAAATTGAGAGACAGCGGAAAATCGCAAGAGTCTTGGCTGAGATACTCGAACATGAACAACTCTAAGATTATAGACAATTTCGTTGGTCAATTCAAATCTACTATGGAGTGCACACACTGTGGATTCTCGTCAGTAACCTTCGATCCTTTCTGAGATTTTCTCTCCTTATACCACAAAGAACTGGCCAATTGAGTTTGTCGCAATGTTTGGATTTCTTCACAAAAGAGGAAACCCTGGATGGAGATGAAAAACTAATCTGTTCGAGGTTTAAGGACAGAAGAAAATGCACAAAGTCCCTATCAATCCATAAGTTTCCCCGTATTTTAGTAATTCATTGAAAAAGATTCTCCCAAATAGAGAGATTCAAAGGCAAATTGAATGTTGCCATTCAATTTTCTTTAGAAGGATCAGATATGAGCAATTATGCAGCAGACAATGTGACTCCTTGTCGTTACAATCCATATGCACTTTCGAATCACAGTGGGACAACTTACAACGGGCATTACACAGCATATTGCAGACACCCTTATAGTGACACGTGGAATGAATACAACGATTGTGTCCCCAATTTCACCAAAATCGCTTGTGAGTGAGGAGGCATATGCCCTCTTTTATGAACAGGAGAGAACAAAGCAGCCCTTTTGCGGTGTTTTTTTTCTTCTTTTTTTTTAATAAGCTAAACTCTGTCAATCGATTTGTATTTCATGATTCTTCTGATAATATTTATTATAATTGGCTTATGTAGCTATAATATACTATATATCTAAAAAAAAAGTTACACACATACAATGATTCATGAAATTCCTAAAATTTATTATCAATGACTCAAAGTGCATTGAAATACATACCCAACTACTTCCCTGGATAAATCGGTGAATGTATTGAACCCTTAAAATTGTTTTGAATGAAATGCTTCTTGAAGATTATTTTAA